AGACAGTGAGTCTCGGAGGTGTTTGGGGCCAAGTACAAGAATTCTGTTTTTTTCTGAGTTTAGCATCAGAAAATTGCAGCTCATCTGGGTTTTTATGTCCTTAAGACATGTTTGTAACTTAGATAACTGATTAATTTTATCAGGCTTGATCAACAGGTATAACTGGGTATCATCTGCATATCAGTGAAAGTTAATGGAGTGATTCCTAATAATATTGCCTAAGGGAAGCATATATAAAATAATTAAATACAAACTAAAACAACTAACAGCTGATTTCGATTGGTCTACCCACTGTTATTGTCTGACAATGAGGTATCTATGATCTACTGTACTAAAGACTAAGCTATGGTCCAGCAAAGAAGGACTTTTAAGAAGTCAATTTGAATCAGAATGTCAGATTTGCACTTTTGGACGTCATTTAACCTGGAAGGTTCATTTGACTGGTTTGGCTAAATTGGCCATGTGAATGACCTGGAAGAGTAAAGCCAGGTGTGGACAGTAAGGAGTTATTCAGCTATAACCATGCTGAGGGTAGAGTTTTGACTACAGTAGGAGAGGGTGGAGGTCTAGTTTTGTGCTTCTGAATAAGAACTATTTGTATCCGGTGTTTTTTTTTATATAGATATATATGTGTACGTGCTAAATTGTTGTACCTTTTGATAGGTAAACAAAGAGAAATCAAATTTGCTGGCCAAATGTATGTGGACAACCATGTCTATTTTTTATTTTGTTTATTGGTTTGGGCTAGGCCCTTTTAGCCTGGTTCCAGGCCTCTGCATTATCGTCTGCATCTCTAATCTTTTCAGTGATTCAAAAAGGTCTTATCTGTTAATGTGCTCTTAAAAGGCGACCCCCCCAGCAGGAGGAACAATAAACCAATCAGAGCTCTTTTAGGCGGGATTAACAATAGGGATTTTATCCTCCCACAAATGTTAGCAAGCTGCATCCATGAAACACAGTGCCACAAAAAATGGCAACAATTAAGTGTGGTGAGAGGGACCCGGCTGTACAGGTTGTCGTAAGTCGATTTACTGACGTAACAAATCTTACACAATATCTTTTCTAGAAGCCGCTATCACAGCTTCTGTGTTGACTTAATGTCATGACTTAATTTTAAACCCAGATTGGCTCTTTGTGAGGTCTGGATCTGAATTTATCTGATTTTATGTCCACATACTACCATGTAGTCCAAGTACAGCATTGCCCAAGCAGGGTTTACAAGGTTACTAACAGTGTATTATAATAAAAGAAAAACAAAACTCTCTGTCTAAATGTTTCTCTGGACCTTTTCCTCTGTGCTTCCTTCTCCTCTCCTTCTACCTCATTTGGAATCTTTCTCTAACCTCCCCATCTCTCTCCTCCCTCGGACCTGCCTGTCTCTTTTGGGGGGAGGTATTATGTGATCGTCAGGGGAATTGAACACAGGAGCAGAGGCAGCAGCGGCCCGATGAATTATTGATGGGAATCTCGGCGTGACCCGCCTCGGTCTGCTCACTTCACTTCTTCTTCACCTCGCAGCCGGGTTAACCAGGCAAAATGGAGGGAGGGGAGAGAGAGAGAGAGAGAGAGAGAGAGAAAGAAAGAGAAAGAGAGGAGGAGTCCATTGTTTGGTTGGAGGACTCTGCCTGCCTGTGACTCCAAGTGAATTATGGATGAAAAGACAACGATGCTCAAATCTGTGTTAGAATTGAAAAGCTCATATTAAAGCTGCAGTATGAATAGGAGCAGCGGTCAGCACAAACAAAAGGCTGGGTTACAAACATAGGGGAGGGGCGGGGGGAAATTACTAATAGTTTACATGGTACAATGAACATTTCCGCAGCACTAATTCCATCAGTAAACCAACAGGGTCATGTCACTGCTGCTCTCTTTTTAATACAACTACTGCTCTTATTGACATATTCATTCTACTTTGCTGTTTTTTTTATCGCCGTTATATTGCTGTCAGTGAAACTCAACACCTCCTACAGATGCTTCACATTAAAAGCCTACCAGTGAGGGATTATGCACTTTGAGCTGCTCGAAAGCTTTTCAAGGTAACGAAGGAACTTGGCTCATTGATGTGCTTTTAATAGTTTTTGGACAACAGTGGAGCTCTATGGTACAGAGGAAGAAGGCTTTGGACACTTGTTAGTAGGATCAATTCATTGCTGGTGTTGGTCTTTTCACCGGGTTTGTTGACAATAAGACAAATATAGATTGACTTTAATGTTATAGAACAGAATGAAAGAAGTCCACTTAGAGTGGAACTGTGCTGAAAATCTGAATGACTGAACCTAAATATTTTCCATTTTACGCATCCTGCTGCAAGCAGACACAATGCATTATTTATGAGCCGGACTCTGCTTTATGACACAGATTACCAGCAGTTACTGTGTGTGTGTGTGTGTGTGTGTGTGTGTGTGTGTGTGTGTGTGTGTGTGTGTGTGTGTATGGTCTTACAGTTTCAGACTGTGGGAATACAGTTTGTGTCCGTTTTCAGGGTTTCTGTTCTGACCTCCTGCATATTCAGAGGCTGCTATCGATCTGTAATAATGGATTTCAGGCTGCTGAGAGGAGACTTCTGATGTTTGTTTGTGTGTCAGTGTGAGAAGATTTGACAGAAACTGTTATCTCTGACCTATCCTGTCGATAGCAGTTTTGGAAGCTGGAAACTGAGACCTGACAAAGTCTGTTAACAGGTGCTGTGGAGTACTATTGCATATGCGGAAAAAGTTGTATAAAGCTCTCAGAGGGAGCTGTGTGAAGGCTGATAAACTGCCTTAAGTGATGTCACTCGAGTCAGCGTCAGTTAGGGCTATAGACTAAAAGTTTGAGAAGAAAAAATCTGGGGGTGTGAAATTCTCGAGGCTTTAAAGCGGTACTCACAAACCAATGGGTGACGTCACGATAGGTTCACACTTGGACCCAGGTGAAGTGTTTTTGAATGCACTTACAAATGAACTGGAAGCAAGCTAGCTCTACTAAATAGGCTAGAGCGTGAAAAAATCTCCAGACATACCACAAGTGATGTTGTGGCGACAACCTTTTTTAAGCCTTGTTTCTTTGTTTAGTTGAAGGGCAGTTTTACTTTCTTGTAACACCCAACAGCTTCCTAATTTACGTCCAAACTCACCCTTTTTGAGGATATTCCTACACAAAGGGTGCTGTGGATCATATAAGATCAACCTCATAAATGAGTTTCTCATAATTTCTGGCAGAAAGCAAACTTCTCACATAGCCAGACCTATTTCCACACTTTACTTTAGCACTTTTGAAGTGTGCGAAACTTTATAAAAAGAACCAGGGTGAGCAGTTTCTTAAACAAGTGACACATCACTCAGCCTGTTCGCTGACATACAAAACAGGTTAGGATATGTTGATTGGGAAAAACTGAAACAATCTGATGTTCGCTCATTGGAGGAGGACATCTTCAAAAAGGATGAGGTTTGGAAGGAAATCTGGAAGCTGTTGGGAGTTGGAAGTAAATAATTAAGTAAATTATCCTTCAATTATATAAAAGGCTGAAAAAAAGATCTCTTTGTGACGTCGCTCGTAGTATTATATAGTAACTGCTTTGCATTCCATCTGCTAGACTCAACCCGCTCGCTTACAGTTAGTCCCTTGCTTCCCTTGACCTAAGATGCTGTATGTTGTCCCTCAGCTCCGCCTACCAAACTTGCATTTTGAGATCTGATCACACTGCCGACAAAATCAAGATAACAAGAACACTTGTGAACCAGTTGTAAATACAAAGGCCCGAGATCAGATGTCATTATCTAGATAATGGATGCAGATAGAGATTGCAGGTGAATACCAGGTGACTAGAGTTACAATGTTTTGACGTGACCCAGAGCAGCACATCTGCATGTTTGTGCCTCTTTGTCATTCATATAGAGACTCTGATACATTCAGCAAAGCACCAAGCGCTTTATCAAAACTGTGAACTCCAAACATCAGCCTTGTGTGTTCAGACTCTCTACAACCTTCACTGTAGCCCCCAATAAGAAAATCAGAGGAATAGCATAGTGATTTTTTGTTAAGCCTGTCCACACCAATTAGGGTGCCCTGGTGGTGTTGGAGTGGTAGAAGTGTTGCTGGGGCCAACTGAGCGGTTGGGGTTCAGAGGAGAAAATGGTCCTGTCGCCGCTTTATTACGGCGGTCAAATAAAACGTGACACCTGGACTCTGAGCTCATCGAGGCGGAGCGCTCAGAGAATACACACCGCACAATCAGACAGAGCTACACACTACTACACACACACACACACACACACACACAACACACAGGTAGGAAGCAGCAGGGGAGGACAGGAAGGCAACTCTGAATCATGCTGAAAGGACCATATGGGTTTTTTCACATAAAGTGTATTTTGAAAGCAGTGCATTAGTGGTAATATCTCACCACGGTGGTATTGTTAAAAACTAGTCCTTCTGAAATTAAAGACCTTAATTTCCCATCAGTCCTGTTGTTTTGTGTGCCCCCTCCTCAAAAAGAATAAACAGGCCAGTAGTCATTTTTCTCCATCAGCCTTTCTCTCCTACCACCCCCACCCATCAGCACACACTCTAAACGCATTACATTATGATCCCAATGGAAGTGTGTATTCATCGGCTGGTGAAAATAGTCCCCAACATATGCATTATTTACATTTGTTTGACTAATGCTCGCTAAAAACTATGACGCCCAGCTATCTTAGGAAATTAGTGAGACTTTTACATGAAACAGTTGACTCATAAAGGGCCATTCCACTGATTTTACACATCAAGTTTCCTCATCATGGTTAGTACTACTGAGCAGGGATGAGCGAGTACGCCATCATCTGTGCCAGTACCTGCTTAAACAACTAAATTATCTGTTTCTGCCGGAATAGGCAGGGCTTGTTCCAGATGTGGGTGGTGCTTAAACAGAAAGTGGGCATGACCAACCACAAGAAATTGTTGTATTTATTAGAAAACTGAGCTTCAGAGAAATGTTTTTGAGCTATTTACAGAACAATTGTTTTATAATGGCTGCTAAATGTATGACTAGTCTACAATCAATTTTGCAATAACAATTTTAATTTTCACAGAATAATAAAAAAAAAATGGAATTGTGATGCTGTGATATGTTGTTGGGGTCTGTACCAAACAAAGATGTTTTCTTAAATCTGGAGAACAAGAACTGTAAGTCAGAGCATCTCTGCAGCACTAAAGTAATTAATTGTAATGCTATTTTGTCACATTTTACCTTTATAAATATCTTCCTGCAATTTGCGTATTGCACTTGGCCATATTGTGATTTCGATAATGTTGCGATTAATTGTACAGCCCCAGTGTGTGGTAACCTGTATAAAAGGCCTGTGGTAAAGTGATTGGAGATGCTACCCCAGGAGCTAACATGGCTGACTGTGACACTATCTGACACAGAGAGAACACGTTACAATCAGTCATCATCTGTATCTTGATTTGCTGACTAATGGTTGGTTTTGGATGATTGAACAGCAGCCCTTTTCACATCTGAAACCAAATTGTTTTTGCTTGTGATGTTTATTTCTGATGATTTGTTAACAATATGTTTCAAACATTACTCAGAATTAATTCATTGATGACCTTTAAATAGACTGATCCAACTGAAAGCCACTCCCCGATCCCATTCATTCTTCTCTGTTGCTGCTGGTTTGTTATCTCTGTTTTTTACGCCTTCTTCCTTTTTGAATTCTCGTTCCATCTTTGTTCTCTCGTTGTCCCTCCTTCCCTCAGGTTCATTAGTATTGGTGACACAGCGCTGCTGAAATAACTCTGTCCGGAGGCGTAATGAACGACGACAGCCGGGACAGACCTGTCAGGCGGCAGGCAGGGTTTATGGTGAAAGACAAACAGTATTAAAAAAAACAAAGGAAAATAAACACAGGGTCTGATTTGACCTTGTGTCTGACCAAAATCCTGTATTCACTTGTGAGGATGACAAACAAACAAATACATACTTAAAAAAATGATTATTGTTTTGATTATTATAAGAAAAATGGTTATTATTATTATGATTGCTATTTGTATTGATATATCATAATGAAAATAATTTCATATAAAATTTAAATCTATATAAATAAAGTATATAGTCAATTATTGATGAATATTAAATGAAAAATAATAATATCCTATGGAGATGAAATAAATGAATATTCTATTTATAAATAATAATAATAACAATTCAACAATAAGATTTAATAACAAAACATTTAAAAGGAAAAAGATTAAGAATTCATTTAATTTAGAAAATGAAAATATCCTATGAAGAGGAAAATATAATATAATAAATACATATTTAACCCTTACAAGTCTATTTTATTATTATTATTATTACTATTATTACTGTGTTTGCTATTGATAAGACAAATAGAACTATACTACTACTACTAGTAATAATAATAATAATACTAATCTGCTGTCTAACATACATTACATACCAAACTGCATTAGAATTTTTGCTATTTTTATCCAGTCTCTAATATGTCTGTTTGCTGCTTGAGCTGACAGTTCCCTGTATGTAAATGTGCTGATGTGTATCTATAACCGATCAATACTTTGATGCTCAGATACTGAGACTGAACACAAACAAGGAAGTGGACGCACATTCTGTTTGTTGTCCTTCCTGCTCCTGTCTCTACTCATGTTGTTGTTTTCTGTTTTTTTGGTTTCTCTCTCCGTCCGGGAGTCAGTGTGTTTTTCTGAAGAGTGTGTGTGTGTGTGTGTGTGTGTGTGTGTGTGAAGCAGCAGTTTTGGGCCCGGCCGTGCGTGCGGATGGATGATGTGGATCGATGGCTGTAATCCCGAGCAGATTAAAAGAGCATTAATACTGGCAACGATAACGTAAACGGTGCGGACCCAGATCTCCATTGATCTGCAGGAACCTGATCCAGACCAGTTCCTGGAAGAGAGGGGGGAGGGGGGTGGGGGGTAGACAGAGAGAGAGGAGGAGAAAGAGCTGACATTATACAACACAGAGAGAGAAAGAAGCAGTATCCGAATGGCTCATGATGATAATAATAATAATAATAATAATGATAACATGGGCACTCTAATGAGCAATATTATATGCAAACTAATAATGAAGTAATTGAAAGGTAATAGTATGGTCTGTAAAGGAGGCCAACAATGCCATAATTAAAACCTATCACCACAAAAGAACATGCAAATCCCAGATTTCTCTCAACAATATCTGCACATAGTGACTACAGTAGGGTTAAGGTTAGATTGTGATTCTAGTCTCTAGTGAAAGCCTCCACCCAGACACCATTACTCCCTGCATCCCGACAGCGGCACTAGGGCTGCAACGAACCATTATGATTCTCTCGATGAATCGATTAGTTGTTAGGTCTATAAAATGTCCGAAAATGGTGACAAATGTTAAATCACAGTTCCCCAATTGTAAATTACCTGTTAAAATATGTAGTCAGTAACCTAATCCAATATCACAAATAAAGACAAGAGAAAAGAAATAACAATAAGAAGTATTGATCTAATTGTATTCTATAAGACAACAGAACAATGTGACCTTAGAAAAGAAAATGGAAACCAAGATTTTTAGCATTGGAAATGTGTCCTCTCCTCAGAGCATTTTTAAAGAAAAACTGATGTATTTTAAATCCTGCTAATAATCCCAATTTTTATTAAATGTAATCTGATTATGTCTGTTTTTCTGCAACTGGAACAGATTAGAGTTTTAGTATCCTGATTAAATAACTCAGTTATATGTAATCCAGTAATCCTGTAGAGGGCTACAAAAAACTGAAAATATTCAAATTTGAGAAACCGGAATCTGAGAATTTTTACATAAAAAAAAAACGATGAATGAATTAAGTTATGCATGAACGAATCGATCAATTAATCGACTAATTGTTGCAGCTCTGAAGTGGAGGTACATCATGATGTTTCTTATTATCCAATGTTAACATCATTTTTGAGTTGAGTTTGGTTGAGTCCTCTGTACTTGAACTGAAGGTGTCTCTCATTTTGCCTCTGAGCTCTGTACGTGTTTTCAAATCAGAAGAGCTTCAGTTTTGAAGATTTTGGGTTCATGTGCGTGTTTTTTGTCTGTTTACACGTTCTCTTAAGTTGCCGTAGCTCTTAGGGCCACTTACCAATCAGTTTATTGACGTACAAGTCCATAAGACGCATTGTTGAGATTTTCAAAGTGTGCACATCGGCAGTTCCTTGTTTTCTTTCTTCCTGGGATGATATATGAGTTTCTTTATCTCACCTACACAGTTTGTATTTCTTATGTTGACCTTTTGGCTTATCATTTGTACTGTTTGTGTTGAATAACCCCCCTCCCCCCCAAAAACCCACAGTTTGAGGGTCTAAATTGCTCTTATTTTTCCTGCAGATTTGGTGGTAAAAGCATTAAAAGCTGCCGGTTTGATGCGTATCAGACAGATAGGTTTGAAGGGAATCCTCCTCTATTTGATTGTGCCACATAACTGGATTCATTAAGCTGAATCTGTCTGTTATTGGATTATGTTTCATATTGGATGGAAGAGATCCAATTGTAGATATTAGGGCCTTTAATGTAGACAGGTTTAGCAGGACAGAGCAGACAGAAACATGTTGGAGAAAAAGATAAAGACAGAAAAATAAAGATAGAAATAAATAATTACAGGGGAAAGAACAGAATACAGAAAACATACAGTAAAACCAAACAATTAACATTGATTTTTTGAAAAAGCTAAACAATAAAAATGGGTTGAACAAAAGGTAAGAAAATACACTATATGGCCAAAAGTGTGTGGACACCCCACTCCTCAGTCTTTCATCTCTCCGAGTGGGAAACCCGATCAACTCGTATCGCTTGCCGCTGATCGTTTGGAGACAAACACAGCGGTGAGCGGTTTGCCAGGATGTCCGTTTATAGCTGCCCAACCTCCTTTTGATCAATCACCGATTACAATACAACCTATTGATCCGAGAATATTATCTTTCTGCCCGTGTTTGCTCTCTGTTGGAGCTGTGTGCTGTGAGACTGAGCACCGATGACTTCAGGCTGCCAAAAAACAGCACTGATAAGAAAAGGTACTGAGAGGCCGGTTAACTCATCATCCATTAGTCTGTCAGGTGTGTGTGTGTGTGTGTGTGTGTGTGTGTGTGTGATGTCCAAACAGAGCTCTCACTGTCAACATTTGGCAGGTTAAAGGTTAGTAAATGTTTTCCCAAGTTTTTGAAACTTTCTCTCCAGCGACGTTTGCTTTTTTACTCCCACTTCACTCCCTTATGCTTAAAGCACAGTCACCACATGTATGAGGGACTTTTTTGAACGGGCTAGGATAGTTGTACAGGAACTAACTTTACTCCCTGGTTCCTCACTCAAAATGCAGGTTATGTTCCTGATTCCCTTGAAAGGTTCTTGGTCCCCTGGGATAGTGGAAACGCCCTCAAATTGTCATGTTCTAACAGAAAATACCATCTGCTGACATGTCAGTGAGTACTGTATGTTCCACAGGTTCAACACACAAACAGCCAGAATCTAGAGGAGAGTGTCTTTGTTACAGAGATATAACAATGTCAGTATTCCTGTGAGTAATATTCCTCTCAGTTATGAGTCACTCACCAGCATTATTGTAAATATGTGTGTGGCATTGTACCATTAGAGCTGCCAGAAAGGTCTGGCACACATTTTAATTCCTATTTGGAATAAATATCTTTGAGTTTTGTCACTGCAGTTCCCATAATGCTTTGGGTGATGCAAAGAGGAACTATAATGTTGCCATAGAGTCCAAAGTTCCAAAGTTACTCTCCATTGGCTACATTGTGCTGTATATTTACCCTCTGCCATTTTATTTAAAGCTGCAATACACACAATAATGACATACCATCTGTGGTCTCCGTGACATCACCCAGAGGTTTCTGAAGAGCCGTTGTCGCAGTGTGGTCGGCTCTGGCCGTCGCCATCTTGGCAGTCCTGACTCGGCTACTAAAAATGGGCAAAGAGGTGGAGCTGAGGCGGACTTCACCCCTGTACAGTTGTCATGAACAGGGAATTTTGCTATAGAGACCAAAACCATTTTTTGTACCAGGCTATAGACATATTTATTTCTGCTGTGAAGTTGGGCATTTTAATATGGGGCCTTATGGAGATTGACTCACTGGTGGAGCCAGCCTCAAGTGGCAATTAGGGGAACTGCAGCTTTTGGCAAATCCTTCATTTCTTAGCTGCAGATGTTGCCGCTTGGTGTTCACCTGATGAATGCCAGTCCAATATTCACTCTCTTTTAGCTCTGTTTTTGGTCTCAGCCAACTCATTTGTGTCTCTCTCTTTGTTTAGCTGCTAACTTTGTCTGTCTGCTGTTTGCTGATGAGCAGGTATTGTACAGTGGGTTTTTGGGCTGCCAGCTGTGGCCAAGAACAACACAGATGAGAGCTGTGAGAGTCAACCAAAACAGTAAAATTGCAGGCTGAAAGATAGAAAAAGCAATACAGAGCTGACAGGAAGTGTAGAGTCAGGTGATACAATTTCTGTGGGTTGTCACTATGAGCGCCCTCTTTCACACACACACACACACACACACACACACACACACACACACACACACACACACACACACACACACACACAAGTAGTCATGTAATCCATTGTTTTTTTGTTTTTTTTAAAAGATATGTTTTGGCCTTTTCTTGCCTTTATTGGATAGGTACAGCTGAAGATCGACAGGAAAGGTGGGTAGAGAGAGAGGGGATGACACACAGCAAAGGGCCGCAGTTCAGATTCAAACCCGGGCCGCTGCAGCAACTCCATACATGGGTTGCCAGCTCCACCGACCGAGCCAACCGGGCGCCCTATTGTTAATATGATAAACTAAATTAGAATTAAGTTAAATTAAACTATTAAACTAATTAAACTAAACTAAGTGTCAATTTTCTTCAACAAAAGGGCCTGTACACTACTTTTTGCTAGAAATCCCACAATTCAATGGAGTATATTGAATCTTTATATGTGTTTTTTTTGTAAGGGGATTAAAGGAATAAGAAAGAAAAGAATATTTACAGTTACAGAAATGTATCTTGATAGGGTTTCTTTTAGAAAACAGCTTTACCTATTTGGGCCTCTGAAACCCTCAAGATGAAAGGAAAGGGAGGAAAATCTGCTGTACTGGTCGGACTGCTCACAGCTCGCGTCCACACTAAATTGATTTTTAGAGGTCACAAGCCAAAAAGGTCAGGCAGCACAGCTCCAGTCCATTCTCCCGGTCCAGTTCATACATTAATTCATCATATCTAAACTGGAGCGAAAGATCAAATTACATTCCAAACTGTTCAGAAAGGGTTTGATGACAACAACACACGTAACAGCAAGCCCATAATGACTGAAACCTGGCTTCATAACTCACACCTTGCTTTTTATCGAAACAACTGATGTTGTTTTGTTGTTGTTATTTTTTATTTATAGTAGAACTGTCTGTTGGATAATAGTAGATGGAAAACTAAAGAGAAACAGAGCTGAAGGAGACGAGAGAGGGAGGGTGGGGGGGACAGAGGTGGATGACATCAAACTCCTCTGAGGCCATTTCCTCATCAGCTCAATGACATCACTGAGCCACCCGAGGCTGCGATTGGTCAACCCCTTTATGCTGGTAAACAACTGAAGATACATTACAGTGTGTGTGGGTGTGTGTGTGAGTGTGTGTGCGCATGTGTGTATAAGTGGGCAGCGGGACCTTTGTCCGGTGATGTCACCACAGACCGTGTGGACATACAGATTATCCACTGATAAAGCATCTCTGCGCACACACACACACACACACACACACACACACACACACACACACACACACACACACACACACACACACACACACACACACAGAGAGATTCGGTGATTACACACTGTGAATACTCGCGTTCTCTCTCCCTCTTTGTTCCTCAGTACAATCAGTGATGGAAGCAGATCTATCTATTTGCCTGTATATGTGATGTAGTGCAGGAAGTCCATATCACTAGAAAACCGAAAGCTTTCATTTAATTTTTTTAAAGGGTCAGCAATATCCTTAAACAGCTGGACACTGTAGTTTTTAGCAAATGCTACTCAAACAGGAGGAAATAGGGAATTTTGGTAGGGACTATTTTCAGCAGCGGATTAATACACATTTGGCATGCTAGTGAGTATTGGGAGCAGCATGACGGTGTATGTGTATGACTTCAAACAAACTACAGTGTGTGTGCTCATGGTAGTGTCTCACTGGTGTTTTTTTCTTAATTTTTGGACAGTGGTGCTTTATGGCGCAGAGGAAGATATGTGTATGTAGGAAGACAGTATGTGTCAGTAGGAGGATTAATTGTTGGTTTTGGTCTTTTCATGAGATCCATATCCTGTAAACTATCTTTGAGGGTCCTGTGCTGGAAATCAGAAGCAAATGAGCAATTTAGGGTTCTAAGTTCATGTTTGTTTGCATACATACAGATGGTTATGGTATTTAAAGATGTTCTAGTGGACATGCAGCCAGAAATAGCTGTTGATTAATTGATTAACGGATCAACAAAAAGTTAATAACTGTTATTTTGATAATTAGTTAATCATCTGAGAGACTTCAAGTAACAAACGACTATATGCTGATGTTTAGCAATGGTTGCTATTTTCATCACCTTAGTTTAGTTTGTTAGCATGTGCTAATTAGCACTAAACACAAAGTACAACTGAGACTGTTATTAGTTTTGTAGGCATTTGGTTGCGCTGTTTAACTGTTTACAGTAATGGATAAATTAGAATGGTGGTGAAGGGGGAACATGAAGGAATTTCATTATAAACCATGATATTAGATATTTGGTGGTGACGTTTCACTACAAACCAGTACCAATGGCCACTTCATAGTGGTGTGAAAGGAAAAGGCAAGAGATCACCAAAAGGCAGTATAATTTATTCTCTGGGTGCCATAAATGTATGTTCTAAACTCAGTGGCAACTTAAAGTATTGTTATTGAGATATTTTAGTCTGGAGGGACATGGGAGTGGATTTTCACTCCTGTCCAAACCTCTCCCACAAAAATACTCCTGTCTCACCCAAATGCCATGACAGAGTTTTAGGACCAGTTTGTGGATTTTAGTGGCAGTATGGATGGATAGTGTTTGTCCATCCATATTGGTACTGTATATTTATATATAAACACCATCCTGTTGTTATTATGATTCCCGTCTCTCCTGCTCCCGTTGACTTTCTTTTCTGTCCCGTCCCAGTCATGTGATGAATAGTGAAATTGATTCTCATCCCGCGGGAATCCCGTGACCCACAGGATTCCTGCAAAAATGTCAGCCGCCAAGTCTGGAACAAAATGGTGGACCGACATTGCCATTCTAAAAATACCAAACCTTGGCAAGCTAAAGCTTCCCAAATGCAGATTTTCTCCTTTTCGATGTTTCATGTCTGTGTGAAATGAATCTCTTTTGAGTTTTGGAGTTTTCTTAGAAAAGTAAGTAAGTGAAGGTGTAACATTGGGCTCTGGAAATGGAGGTGACAGGAATTTGTCATTTACAATTAATTGGTTAATTAGAACTAATGGATATGAAGATGTGCGGCCTTATTTCTCAGCTGATACAGTGACATACTGTGCTATACTGTATTGTTAAAGGATAAATATTCCAACAGATCCATTCATGCTCTCAGTTTGGATGTGTGTGTGTGTGTGTGTGTGTGTGTGTGAGTGAGAGAGAGAGAGAGAGAGAGAGAGAGAGAGAGAGAGAGAGAGAGAGAGAAACAGAGACTGAGAGAGTGTCTTCAGTCTGATGCTCCATTTCCGGTTATCTTCTCAAAACGGAAGGAGAGAAGCATCGTGGTGCATTAAGCGCAACCACACACACACACACACACACACACACACACACACTCAAGCAAGCTTATAGTGGAGTGCTGATTGCTACAATGCTGTGTGTCTCTATGTACATCTGTGTGTGTGTGTGTGTGTGTGTGTGTGTGTGTGTGTGAGTTTAAGTGCTGAGATATGATGCATCAAGTGTGTGTGCCAGCCTGTCATGCTCATGAAGTCTGCAGACTGTGTTATAGTGCAATATTCCGACTACTAAGGGGAATGTTCGGATTTTTTACAACCATGTTTTCATAGTTTTGGTCATCATTTCTCTCTGTTATGAGTCACTCACCAGCATCATTGTATACACACGGGGCATTGTAACAGCAACCGTCTGAGGACTGACACGTCTCCGGTTTAACTTCATACAAAGTGCTTCACTTTGTGTCACATTGTGAGCTGCAGCTGCTCTAGAGGCAGCATATTAAACCAAGGCTGTTGTAAAGTAAAGCAGTAACACACCCCTTTAAACACCAGCCAACTATGATTGTAGCTGTATTAGAGGCTCAAACGTACCCTATGGCTGATTGCATTACTAATTCAAGCATGTTTGTTTATGGTTGGTCTGAGTGTGTCTGGATGTTAGGTAAAACCCATTCCACCCTTAATTTTTTTTTGTGTATGGTGATAAGGTGGCTGTTTTGACTTACTGACCTAATATTATATGGACATGTGGCCTATGAGCTTTTTTTGGACAGTGACAGCAGAATCATGTAAAGCTTGGTATCTCAAATCTTGGAAAAATCATTGTTGATGAGTGACGATCTCCAAACAAAGTAGAATCTGTGATTGAATCTTGTCATAACGAACCTGAAAACTAAACTTGAAGTCAAGGTGAAATCAAGATACAGTATAATATGAGGAATTTGTGTAGGCTCATGTGACTTGTATACATACTGGTCAGGGCTGTGTTGGCAAGAATTGGGCGATACGATATGTATCACGATACAGGGGTTATTGTGACACAATATATTGTATATACTATTCTGTTTTTTTTTCTAGTACATATGGAGTATATGTAAGAAAAGTAATTTCCCCCTGGGATTATTAAAGTATTTCTGATTCTGATTCTGATTCTAATATTGTGATGTATTGCAATACTGTAAGCTAGGCTAGGCTAT